AGCAGAGCAACGGGTAAAGAGGCAGCCAGCACCCCGTGCGGGCTGGATCTCACCTGACGCTTGATGGAGCGTCACTGCAAACATAAGCACACGTTTCTTGTCTTATATAGAGTTTATTGATTTTTTGTTTTAATTTTAAAGATTTGTGTTTCATGGCCCTGAGCACTGAAAGAGGAAGCAGAACACGCAGCGATTGTGCAATGCCCGTCCTCTGCGGTGTCCGCTGCAGCTGCGGGACCCGGAGACCCCGGGGTCGACGCGCGTCGCGGCTTCCTCCAGCGCAGCGTGCAGGTTGGTCTGCGATGGTGACGAGCAGCGCTCGGGAGCCTCCTCCTCCGGCTCGGCCTGCGCCTTCCCTCCTGTCTGCCTCTCCTGAGGCCAAAACTTTCTGGCCTCCACGAGCCCCCCAGGGCTCAGAGACTCGTTTTCTTTTGGAGAGCGACTCCTGCAAGGTGCAGAACGTGGCAGGGCTTCGCTAATAACCACTGGGGTTTGTTTCTCATGTCTTTGCCACAGCTTGGAGCTGTGTTGGATCCCCCTGAGCCCAGGGTTGAGAGCGTGGTGACACCCCTGCACAGCTGTGGGGTTTGCAGGGCTGTTCCTCTTGGGTAAAGACATCTCTGAAGTGGAAGCGAAAAGCGACAGCGATTCCCCCTGTCGTGAACACTGAGCTTTGCAAGGGTCGGAGCTGCTCAATGCCCGGTCCTCCCTGCTCTTTCCAGACAAGTGTGATGAACAGCCAGGTTGTGTCATTATTGCTACTTATTTTTAAAGCACCCAGAAGAGGGGTGTTGCCTTGCAGAAATGCGCAAGAGCTCGGTCCTTGTTGAGGGGAATTAGCAGCCTGAATCCACCCGCGCTGCCCTGGTTATAAAAAGACACTGAACGTGGGGGAGGAGGAAAGAGCCGAGGGAGGCAGCGAGCGCAAGAGCCTTTTGGGTTTGGTGATGCAAGGTTTCTGTTCCTGTTTCTTGCTTAAAAAAGAATACAGATAATCTATAAATGTCTCTGTCTGTCCCTATGAAACCTGTATGGCGGCTGTTGTATCTGCGCGGGGCCTGGCGGGGACGGGCGGACGCCCCCAGCTCTCGCCTGTGTCTGCACCCACCACCTGAACTGCTGGTCTTGGCCCTGGTTATCTTCACCGCAGTGCTTTTCCCTGCTGTCTTTACGCTGTATTCTGCTGATAATCCTAACTGCGTTGGCATTCACCTCGCAGTGTCACTAGGTCATCACTAGTGGGTGTTTCGCCTAAGTATATGGCAATACTGCACTTTCTTACAACATCTATGCTCTCAGTATTAACTTCTCGGAGCACTAGTAAGTTACAGTAAGTTGACCTCTCTTACGAAGTGCAGTATATCCTCGGAGTGTCGCTTTGTGTTCCGCACGTCCAGGGTTTCCCGTCAGTGTTCCCACGAGCTCCCTGCGGGACGGCCGTTGCGCAGGCGCTGCAGCTGCTGGACACCGTCGCTGTTGGCGGCAGAGCGGGAGCGCGCTGCGGAGCGCCGTGCATGCGCTCCCCGCCCGGCCTTGCAGCGTCCACAAGGGCGCGCGGGGGCGGCCGGGCCGGCTGCCGAGCTCGCACATCTTCCCCTCTCTTCTCTGCTGCTTCCTCCAGTCTGCCTGGGACATGTCGGCACACCAAAGATAGAGGACAAACGAATATGTGTTTTATATGTGTCTTTAAGTATGTATATACATACATGCATGTGTAAATGGTATACATAAGTGTATATACACATGCATGTATGTACAGAAATTGTGTCTTTTTCCTTAAACCCAGCTAGCAGCTCCGCACTCATCTCTTGGACAGTTGCATTTCTGCACTGGCCTGTCCTGAAATGGGCGTTTACATTAAGTAAGACGAGGAAGGGGCCACCTCAGGAGATGTAGCTCCTCTAGAGGAAGATTCCAGCAGTTCCATGGTGAATATCGCTGGGGTTTTTCCCAGGAAAACTGGAGGTTATGAGTGAGGTTTGAAGGCCTGTATGATGTGCCTGCAGGAAAGGGGCCTTCAAAGACAAGCCAGGTTCAGTGACTCCCCCAGCGTGGCGAGAGAGGCTGCCCTAGGTGGGACCGGGTGAGGAGGAACAGGGCTGGAGACGCGGAAAGGACAAATGAAGGGAAAACTCAGAAATCTGGACGTGTGGAAAAGGGGAGTCTGTGTGTGGTAAAGGACAGCTGATCTGTAGGACTGCTAGGGAAAAAGGGAAGCAGAAGAGACGGCTTGGACGGAGCAAGACAAGAGAAATAGGTAGGAAAAGGAAACGCCCGTCGTTTCCCTGGGCTTCGGCGCGAGCAGAGGGGGCCGTGCAGTGCCCACGGGTGGTCCTAATGGAGACGAATACACGCGTTAATTGAGACAGAACTAAGGGAAGCTCCTTGGGGGCTGCGAGGGTCGCCCCGGCGGCCACCCCAGACACATGGCCGGGGCTCGGCTGCCCCTCGGCACGCGGGGCTGCCGCGGAGCTGCCCGAACACGACGGGGCCTGGGGCCGTGAAGCAGGAAAGTCGGTCTCAGCACCATTAAACATCACATCTGCCCTGCTTTTAACTGTTTTATTCCTTTGATTTTTTGCCTCTTTCATTCCTTCTGTTTTCCTTCATTTTCCCCTTCCCTTTATTGCATAGTCATGCTGACATTTATTTGAAATCTTTTTTGTTTAATACCATTCGACCCGATCGTTGAAAGTTAGCACCCTTGGTGTTCGCTGAGCGCGGCAGCGAGGAAGCCCTTTGCTTCAACGTTCTCCAGTGTGCGCAGGTGTCAGTACATCAGGTCAGCTCCTCCCGTGCTGGCCCCCGAGTCCTTTGGTTTTGAGAAGGGGAATTCGAATCCCGCGAAGCGTATCAGGACAACGTTGAGCAAATGCGCCAGGGAGCACACCAGGATGGTCCAGAAGGAGCTGCCGAACTGCTCGCTGTGCGTCTTGAAGGTGAAGCTGCCCTCCTTGAAGTTCGCAATCTTCTCGGAGAGGTGGTGGACCTTCACCTCCGAGGAGAAGAGGACCAGGATGAGGCAGCCGCAGGAACCTGCAAGGGAGTGAGGGGCGCCGGGGACCCCGGCGCGGG